ACATGCAAACTCCACCCAGAAAGGCCCCTGGACCGGGGTTTGAACCAGGGACCTGCTTGCTGAGAGGCAGCAGCTCTACCAGTTGCGCCACCGTGCTGCCCACCTGACTGGTCCATTAACACAAATGCAGTGGACAAAAATGGCCGGCGTCGCCTCCATTTGCTGATGAGACGGAGGTCATTTGGACTGAGCTGGACTCTGCTGAAAACACTGGGGGCATCGGTGTCGTTTTATTCTGGGAGAGCGGCTGCTGAGAGGGACAGGAGGAGACAACGAGCTGGTCAGGAGAGCCAGTTCAGTCTTGGACCACCCTCTGGACCCCTCTGAGGTGACATCCATCACAGACAACAGAACCTGTCCCCTACATGACACTGTCAGGACTCTGAACTGTCCTTTCAGGCTGCAACATCCACAGTGCAGGTCAGAATGTTCCTGAAGGTCCTTCGTCCCATCAGCAAACATGTTCATGAAAATCTTGACAGTGTGTGAAACCTCTGTTTCCATTAGTTGTCAAATATCACTGTGTTTCTCTTAATACTTATATTGTGTGATTACATTTAAATTTTAAATTTACAGTTCTTGACTTTGGTTTTCTGTTAACGTCCATCAGTGTAGTGTGAGGATTTCCCCAGTGTGAGCTAAATAAAGTTATTGTTCTTATTTAATCTGTTTTTTTTTATCCATGTACTTCCTGTTCTGAGCTGCAGCTCATGTCTGACCTCACCTGCTCCACCTGTGAATATCACCCTGGGGTTCCTGCATTAACGTAAAATAACATCCCACAGCAAATATAAATAATTATTCAATGAACAAATTAATCTGAAAATAATCAGATATTTGGGTGTCGTGGTGGAGCTGCTGCATCTCAACAAGAAGGATGCAGGATCACATCTTGGCCTGCGGATGTTTCTGAGTGGAGTTTAAATGTTATCTCTGTGCACACGTTGTTTGATTTATTACCCAGCATGCTTTTCTTTTTTGTTTCCCGTCATGGCCGCCCCCAAAGATCCTACCTCCAGGCTGGGAGTGGGACCTATGACCTTCTAGCTGAGAGGAAACAGTTCTAACCACTTCACCACCGTGCCACCTGCATCTCTTACCTTCCACATAAATTAATTTTGATTAATTAAAGTGAGACAAACTGAAAACTAGACTCAAAGTGTTTATCTTAACATTTTATAAAACCAATAAACATTTAAAGTTTCTAATTTAAGCAGCTTCATGTCAGTGGAGAACATTTAGTATCAAGTTTTTACAAATGTTGCGGATTTTGGACATTTTCAGGCCGTACATGAGAGGATTAAAAAGAGGCTGGACTGTTAGGAAATACAAGGACAGGAAAACCCGCAGCACGTTGGGCAGGTAGCTCATGTTAAATCTGCTCTGTGACGTCTCGAAGCTGCCGGCGAAGGAGAAGTTCAAGATGGACGCCAGATGAGGCGTGCACGTGTTGAGGGCTTTCTGTCGGGTCTGTCTGGACCCAGAAAAACACACCATCAAAATCTTGATGTAAGTGTAAACGATTAAAAGCAGAGCAACAAAGATGGTGCTGAAAGTAGCTACGAGTCCATAAAAGTTGATGAAAGTG